TGTTACTTAAAGTAACGTTTATCAACCTAATGCTGTTAGTTTTTAAAAAATAAAACATACCCTAAAACGTTACCGTGAAATACGTTTATACTAGTTTTGTAAAATTTTAGAAAAATGTATTACTTTGATAAATTATTTTATATAATGACTTAGTTTGGTTAAAAATTTGTGTATTTTTCTATTCAAAAAATTATTTATTTCTAAGGACAATTTTGAGACTTTAAATCTTCTTATATTTTTAAATTATATATCCAATCAGATTACATCATATAAATTAAAATAAATTTCATAAAAGCGGATACCCAACATAAATTATCATGAAGCGGATAAGTTCTTTAATTTCAGTTTTCACAATCTAGATATTCTCTAAGAGAAGCAAAAGAAGTGTCGCGGAGACCCTATCCATTCTTTTTCCAACTCACATATTATTATTATTATTATTATTATTATTATTTATAATAATAATAAAAAAAATCAAACAGTTCAATGTTCAACACTTCAAGTTACATCGATTGTGTTCTAATTTAATAAAAATTATATTTTTATGCAGTTTATTTTCGATTTGTCACCAATGTAAGGTGCAAAGTAAATTACTAAACAATTGATAAAAGTATGTTTCCTTTAATTTCTTCTTTTTTTCTTTTTCTTTTAATGTTTCACACAATTTTGGGACGGGGAAAGAATTATTGCTTAATTAATTTATGATCCATCTGAATTTATGATCTATTTAAGAATTGATCTAACATTATTTAATTTCATATTTTAAGAAAGTTAAATAACGTATTTGACTGAATGTTGAGTTGGTTATTTTAATTCTTAAGGAATATGGATTGATTTCTACTTAGACACATTTTTTCCTCTTTCCTTTAATGATGCACCTATTTTCGAAAAAAAATAGATTTATTTCAAAAATTCTAAATTAAAATTAAGTTAAAATTTGTGTTTAAGTTCCACCTCTATCAATATAAATAAAATAAAATCATATACTCAACCCATAAACAAATAATTACGTCTCTTATCTATTTGAGACATAATTAATAGTAAATATTTAAACAAGCACGTTTGAAAGTAATCAAACATATCATATATATACGAGTAAGCAAGCTATATATAATGACAATATCAAAAGAAAAAACATATTGAAAAGAGATTTTTCATTTTTCTTTAACCAAATCCTCTAGGCAAGCGGGCTATGTTTTATTCAGAAATAATAAAACACCTCAAAGAGAAAAGTACAAGCAAGGAGGGCTAGACCTTACCTTACTAATCAAAGCAATTTTTCATTTAACGTAAAATAATACTATTATTATTGCGTCTTACGAGACGATACGATACTTAAACTTAAGCAGATTTTGAAATATCCACTTATTAATCCCACTCTAATTTGCATTTGATAATGTTGAACCATTCAATCTCCTCTCCATTTCCTTCAATACCAAGTCCAAATAATTGTTACAATCCACTTCACTCTTTTTGTCAACACAAAATTTAGGATCCTCCAAAAGTTTCAAAACAAGGGACTCCATATTTCTCACTTTGTTCTCCAACCCCATCCTTTTCAATTCTTCTTTGTTATTGGCAACACTAGCTAAAGTGACTTTCAAAAACTCAACACTAGCCATTGCCATTTTCTTTTTTTTTTAGACTTAGCACTTAATGATCTTTCACAATTTGACTCCTCCAAAATAGCATTATTTATAGGTAAAAACATGGCATTTAATTATGGTAAGATAGATTATAAGGATCTTTACCACATTTGACTACTTGCTAAAATTTTAATATTATGTAATTTTCGACTACAGGTCAAACCTCTATTCAAAAGGATCTACATTTAAATGCATTTTACATCAATTGTGCCACCTATAGAACAGAAGTGTTCTTTAATTTGGGCAGTGGCAGACCATCTACTTAACACAAGTCCTAGTTCACGGGATTGATTCCAGCTAGCAGCTTTTTGTTTTGACTTTTTCCAACCTGCAGGGAGCGTTTCTTTTTTTAACTAAAAGGCATATTCTTTTTTATTTTTTGATTTCTTTTTTACTTATTTAACTAATTATTATGTATTAATTAATAATTATTTTTTAATTAATTTAATTTAACTCTTTGACTTTTCTTTTATATGATTAAATATATAATAAAAAATCACTTCACCGTTGAAACCTCCTTTAAACTTTGAACAACAAAAAATTGTCACCAATTAAAGCTTCAGCATTCCGTCTTCGCCCAATCATACTCTCCCATCCAACCACAAGACGGATAATTATCTGAATCTAAAATTGATTTAATCGGTGACTCTTTAGAGCATTAGAGACGAATCCAAAATTTGAAGATTTTCATACACCAATACTATCTTAATTTAGGTAGTTAACAAAACTTTTACTACAATTAACGAATAATGTAATATTTGATTGGTAACTAATGGCTCGAATATGATTTATAAGCTAAACTTAAAATAAAAATAATGAAATAAGACTGAAGCGTATTCTCGCGAATGGTTCCTCTGCTTTTTACCAACTAAACACGTGCTACGTTTTTTGTGGGTGCACTGTTGATTATATCCTATTTATGTCTGTTTCTCACGATAGATATATATATACACGTGATTTTGTTCAAGTTAATGGGTGCATGAGCACCCCTATCAAATCATGTGGGTTCCGCCTCTGCTTGACATGCAGTGACTAAATCCTATATCTGCCTCTAGCTAGTGATAGGTTATGAGGATTGCCACGTCTATTAACCGTGACTTTTGATTGAGGATGATAGTAATAGTCAGTGATGGTGATGCTTAGCACCGAAAGTGGAAAGATGTGGTGAAATGTTTATCTTTTTAGAAAATCTTTTAATCCAGAACATCTTATGATAGGTATTAATCATTCGTATATAGCCAAATTCATTATTAAGTGATTGTAAAAAAAAATGCACTTCGTATTTCACATTTGAATAATTAAAATCAAATCATAAAAAGAAATCCCTTATTTATTGAAATTTTAAGGATTAAAATTAAAATCTTAATCTTCATCAAGCCTAAACAAATATGGAATAAGATTAACGGAGGAATAACACAAGTTTATTTATTATTCAGTAGCAAACACACATATTACACATGCAAAACATTATTTCCGTCTTATAAGACGCATAAAATTATTAGTTTTTCAACGGGCCCTTCTATTGCTATAGTCATAAGCTACGATAGCTTCAACGGACAACTACAAAGGGCCCACCACCCTTATATTTTTCTCCAACAAACACAACAAACATATGTTGAAATAAACCATAAAAGGGCTACATATGTTATATTTCTGACCAAGTTCCTTGTATCAAATTATAATTATTTGAATTTCTGACAGAACAATTTGCCCTAATTTCACCTTGTGTCCCAGTCAACACATTCAATTGTCCCATCTTGATCATGGAATTCACAAATTCCTTAAAGAAAAGTGACTCATTGATAGCAAAACTCGTAACAATCCCTCGTGTTCTTCTATCTGTATACAAATCTTGATCCGATGTGAAAAGCCCTTGTCGATTCATGAGATCAACGTAGTACTTGTTATCGAACTTGTTAGGTGATCGTATGTCTAGGACAGTCGTGTTCGTGGAGTTTCTAGTTGGACATGTTGTTTTAAGGTTGTTGGCAAAGGTTTTATCCATGGATGAATCTTGATTAGGGTAAAGTCTGTCTGTGAAAGAAGAACAATGACTAATACCAATAGTGTGACCACCAGATAGTGCAACAACATCTGTGGGAGTGAAGTTTTTGGTAGCAAGTGAAGCTAGAATTAAACTTGTGTTGAATGAAGGTGGTGGGAGATTGGCTAGGGTTTCATTTGTTGTTGCAAAAGTGAGTCCATCCCTTCTTCCTAGTGGTAGATCATAGTCCGGGCCACCCGACTGCATTTAATTATTTACATAATCAGATCACTTATAAGATATCGTGAAATGATATTCAGTATTACTTATTAGTAACCTAACTAGAAATAATAACTAGTAAGTTAAACTACATCGACAGAGAAAACAAAAATATGATATATTGAAGTACTTAATATATGTGGGTTCTAACTTTTTGATAATAATCAAAACGTGTTATTATATTTGACCAAATGGTTTGATAAGAAAATGATTACTCCTTACCTCTATTCTAGTTTATTTGACTCATTAGTTGGTGTAAAAAAAAAGGATGCATTTCTATATTTAGTAACAGGCTTTCTTTTTTAGTCCACCCAAAAAAGAATAACATATTTTTATATCTAGTAACACATTTATTTTTTTAATCAGTCCAAAAAAGAATAACACATTTCTATAGTCAATAACAATTTAATTTTAAAATATTTCATTTTACCATAAATGAAATAATCTTTAGTAACACAATATTTATTACTTATTTTAGAGCAGGCAAATCAAACTAATTCATATAAAATGAGACAGAAGGAATATTTATATATATGTATACGTGTGTGTGTGTTTCCTTTTTTCATTGCTTATTAGTTTTAACTTTTCATATGACATGTTTATCACTCGAAGATTAAAAAATAATATGATATATTTTATATAAATTTAATTTAAAATACAATTTTGAAAAAAATTCCTTACTTTTAAAATTTTTATGTCAAAGACAAATTTAAAAAAATAAATTAAAATGGATGTAATAAAGAAAGAATATGCTATTAATTATGGTGTGACAGTTTAGGTACAACTTGTGGACGTGGGACACTTGAATGCGAACATTATTGAGAAGTGAAAACTTGTTCAATTATTTGAGGCTTTTATACTATTGCGCATTGAATTATTTGTCATAAATTTGACTTGAAGGTTTTTTTCCAAAACAATACTAAAGGAATATATAAATTAAACCAATAAATACTTAAAATAGTTACTAACAAACGTAAACTTACGAAGAAAACGGAGTCACGAGCAGCAATAGCCGTAATATCAGCACAAGAAACGACTCTACCGCAATCACGATGCACACGACGGCGAAGGTCTTCGATGATCCGAAAAGCCTGTTGTCTTAAAGTCAAGTTTGGGGGTGCATCTTTCTCGCTTGGTCCACTGGCTGAACCATCTAACAGTACTGATCCATCACAACCCTGTATATAAAATAGTATTGCATATATTAATTATTGAATATATATAAATATATATGGTAAAAATATCTCTTTTAAAAAGATGGAATTAAAATTTATCTATCAAGAAGTCAGGAGTGAATAATAGGAGTTGTATCTTCTTATAGTTACTTATAAGTTATAACATTAGTTACTTTTTTATGTTTTAGGTTATGTAACACTTCTTTCTTGGTCTATTTAACTTTATAAAAAGCTTTCTAGTCATCGAAAGTGTTCATTTTTTTTGTCATATTAATTCAAATTATGTTACATAAGTTAAACTGTATAAGATTTTTTTTTTATTATAGTTCCATCATATTAGTTGTCCATCATATTATAAATAATTATCTCAAATTATTTGTCAATTTATCAAATCAAGAAAAAGTTAGTTATTTTCTCTTCATTTTACCTCTACAATATATATTTTTTTGAAAGCCTAAGCAAGTTTATAAGTTCTATAGAGTTTTTTTTTTTCAAAAGAGTCGATAAAGGGTAAATTAGTAAAACGATCCAAATTATGTATGATTCTGAAGGAGTATGTAAAGAAGAAAGTGGACAACTGATATGAAACAGATGAATATACTTGTAATTAGTATTATGGCGCCTAGTAATTATTTATAAGTGAGGTTTAGATCTAGTGACAATAACAAGTCAATACCTGAACAAAGCAATCATGGAAGTGAAGACGAAGAAGGCCGGCGGCCTGACCGATATCCTGCCGGAAAACATTCTGGAGTCTCCTCCTGATGATGGACTCAGCATTGGGACAAATGGAGTCATAAAAAGTCCATGAAAGACCTTTCACAATTGGTTGAGTACCTTGAGCTTGTGTTACTTGAAAATGGATTGAAACAAAAATAGAAAGGATTAGTACTACAAGTAGTGAAGAATCAAAAGTGAAAAGGCTAGGTGAAGCCATTATGATTAATTGATGATATTTTGAGGCTAAGTGAGGAAGGTTCACATTAACTTGGCTCTATATTTATAGCGGGAAGGAAGTAATAGTTGGTTCGTCCGTTCATTTTTACTTGTTCAATATTAAATTTCTCGCACTAATTCATTTGATAGTAGTATATAGAAATAATGACAATTAAAAACGAACGGAGAAAGTAATATTAAAATTAGTTGTGTTGAGATTATTTATTATTCACTATATGATTTGGTGTATTTCAAAGATAATTTTATTTTTAACCATGATTGTTAGTGTGTTAATAATTACTCCCTCCGTCCGGTATTGTTTGTCAAGGTTTCTATTTTTAGAGTCAAACTATTAAAACTTTGATTAACGTTTTAAGATGTATTTTTTCATCATATTAATATGCAAAAAATTATAATTTATAGTACTTTTCATATAGTTTTAGAATATCTATTTTTTTATTTAAAATATCGAACTAATATGATCCAATTTACCTTTGAAAATTAGTTAAATTAACTTTTAATAAGCGTAACATGACAAACAATTATATAATATTGCTAATATGATAGAATTGTTGTGTATTAAATTATGAAGTATACACTCTATAATA